AAAACATAAACATAGTATGGCCATGCAGATGCAAATAATAATAAATAGACCCGATTTAGAATGTTCCACATTTGCCAATAATTCACTTCTCGTATAATCAACAAACAAATGGAATTCACGCAAATCGCGAGAATTGGGTATTAACCTTGAACTTTGGCCATATTGTTCAGTTTATCGCTATTCTGCAATTCTTGTTCCAATTCATCCAAATCAGTATCTTCCACCTCCGACTTCTCTTCTTCATTATCCCAAAAACTGTCCTCCTCGCTTTCAAATGTTTCCTGAGATTCGGATTCCGTTGACTCATCGTCATAGTCTTGTTTGTCTTCCACGAGAATTTGTCCAAATGGCAGCCGCGCAAGTATATCTGTTAAAATGACAATATAATAAAAATAGTTTTAAAAATGTCAATGGGGCCTTTAGTGTCTGGAGTAATGTGCGTGTTATCATAATTGCAATAATTACGGTATTCGCGAGATATCCGCTTCGGGATTTTATTGCCAGTAGCCGAAAAATATCGAGCATTTTTGTAGATTCAGTTATGACTGAATTTTCAGCTTCTGAGGGTGTCATCATGTCACCGAATTGCACGCGGGATTTTCTAGTCGATTATCAATTATGAACTATAATACCAAATCGATATTCAAATATCCCACCACAAACGCTGAATTGTTAATTTTTTAGTGATTCTAAGTTACCTAGGTAACCTTCTCCTTCTTCTGGACTAAGATTCCCAATGATAACTTCTCGCGCGATGAGACCAGCAAACTGCAACAATTTTCGTTCAGACTTTTCTTTTTCTGAAAAAAACAACAACACTTCAACGCTGATTAAACCCGTAATAACAAACTATTGCTTGTACAGGGCAGTACGTCGTGTTTTTATAATGACTGATTGATTAAGAAGACTTCACGGTTTCAGTATGCCAAGACCGTTTTTGACTAAGATAAAGGTGCCTGTTTAATCGTACTTACCTTGGGGTGCCTGGTTATATAAGCTTTGTGCCAAATCATATAAAAGATCGTCCATATCAGATGTAATGACTTCGTCCAAATCTGGGTATACGTCTTTCTCTGGCCCAGGTGCTAACATCATTTCTTGCTCCTGTTTAAGAACAAAAATATGTTGAGTTGCGTTGCGTTGCGTTGCGTTGCGTTTCGTTGTTTCTTACTACTCATACAATGCAATATTTAAAAAAAAGATGCTAACCTCAAATGGATCGTTGTCATAATATTCGACGTCATCATATAGCTGCTTCTGCAGTTCACTGGATACTTCTTCTTCTAAATAGTCAGCTTCCTCCTCTGATATCTAGCAATACACAACATATATTGTGAATGTCACACATATTTAAACATATCGGCAAGTCTCAATAGTGGATAGGGATGTCCGACGATATCACATGTGATATTCCCGGGAGTAATCGGATATGTTGCGGTATCACATATCGTTAATTAGTCAAGTTGGATCATGATATCACGCGATATCACATGTGTAATATCGTTGGGTAGTAAAATTGAATGATATCACGCGATATCACATGTATAATATCGTTAAGTAGTAAAGCTGGATGATATCACGCGATATCACATGTGTAATATCGTTAAGTAGTACAGTTGGATGATATCACGCGATATCACATGTGTAATATCGTTAAGTAATCAAGTCGAATCATGATATCACGCGATATCACACGTTTAATATCGTTAAGTAGTCAAGTGAGATCATGATATCACGCGATATCACATGTGTACTATAGTTACGTAGTCAAACTCTTTAAACGATATGATCTGTTAAATAAATAACTAAAAAAATCGCCTACCAGTCCATCCTCGATCAGAATTTGGATGACGCAGATAAAACTTTCGATATCGTTAGTTGAGATAATATAATTGGCAATTGCTGCTGGTCTGTCCAAGCTGGTCGCTAACTCTCTGGCGGTGTCAAAGTTCAACTCACATTTTACGCCATCTGTGAACGCAACACGTGGACACTTTAAGTTAGTTGGAAGTACAATTACCTTATATGGTAAGAAAAGATGTACGAATCGATACCATGCGTGTGTCATCTGCGATTACCATTAAATTATTTGTTTTCTATCCCCTTAGGAAATGTTAATGTGTTTGTATTAGCGTTGAATAAATCTTCAATACAATACCGCAGAGACAAGCAAGTAATCGCTCCCACGCTTTGGTTAAATATTCACTGTTTTTGAAATTGAAAATTTATAACTGATTTAAATATGTGGGATGGGGTGACCACATTTACTAATTACATATCAACAATTTACGATCGTTGACAATTGCTGTGGTCGTCCACAAAACGATTATTTTTAAATATCAATATTAAGTGATATAAACACATAAATATCGTTTTACATTATACGTACCAACATTTTGCTCCAATACATTATTTTTATTAATTTCAAAACTGTCATAATCAACTCCGAAATCTTCATAGTTTGTCTTTTCTTCATTGATATTTTCGTCCTTTATAAGCGGGATGAAGTCTGTCTCGTCGCCGGATCCTTCGCCCGAAGCTTCCTCCTCTTCTGCAAGAAAAGAAACACTGATTATTCGAATGACTTGATTTGACCATCTAGTTCGTGCAGTACAGCTGAGCCATGCTTTTTCTATTGTTTATTTTTAAGTAACCTTTAAAGCTTGTGCTACACATCCAATAGGCCACATTACTACATTGAACTTAGCATGAGCAAGAGGAATTTTTATCACATTTCAGGGGCGGATCTAGGATTCTGGAAAAGGGGGGGGCGATAAGTTGGCCGAAGTCCAAGTTCGCGAGCGCAGATGGCGCGAAGCCCTGTTGGTTGTTAAAAACAGGGGGTCGCGGCCCCATCGGCCCCCCTCTAAATCCGCTTATGCATTTCATCTCCTGAAAAAAAACCTGAAACTATATATTCGTAGCTCCAGGCATTAGGAGCGAGAACTTAGTTAAAGGGCGGTGGTCGTCGCGCCGCGCATGTGCTTGCACGAATTACCGCCGGCGACTCCTTCGATATCTTCCAATCACCTAAAATATACCTAATTAAAGCTTGGTAACGTCTTATTTTGTACTTGTTGATCTGCGCAATAGTCGCCATCTTTGTTTATATGAAACTCATATATATCGCGCATGCGTGGCGCGACGACTACTGCCCTTTAACTAAAACTAAAAGGGATTTAAAATGTAGGTTGTTTCATTCTAAGACACCTGTCGATTTATTTCATGTCTTGGAAATGAAAATTAACCCAAATCTGCGTGGGTTGATCACATGATTTACCGCGCCCTATCAAAAGCAATGTACGACATTGCGTGGATCGCACACACACTCCGAGGCTTTGCATCAAGCGCGTTCATTCTTAATAAATGGCTTGAGAGAAATACCACGTTGTCATGGTAACCGAAGCATAGAGCGAGTCCAATTTTAAATAGTGTGAGTCGTATTCTTACAATGAATATGAAATTCGAGACTCGCGCTGATTAAGTAAGTCATTTCATGCTCCGCATTGTGAATATTCAGTCTACTCTGTCGATGTCTTCACTTACATTGGAAACAGATGATGTGCTCAGGCAGCTCGTTATTTTTTGTGGTTTGTGGAATGGAGACAACAACGAAAATAAAATCCACTTTATTGGTCGGATTTCAATTCTTTGCCTTCTGCTTTTCATCCATGTGTTTCTTTGACAAGGTGTGCTGCGGCAGATTTTATTGTGGTGTTTTGAATTTGATTTTTTAATTCGGTTCTATTTTTATGCCCCAGTCCGATAATCAATGCATGCAATAACACCCACATAACAGTCGTCAGAGCTTCTGCTTCACAATAACTTTCCATTCACGTTGTATTTATTTCAGGAATTGCTTAATGTTTTTCTCAGAAAATGCAAAAAACAGACGAGCATTATTATAATGAACAATCAACAATGCTATATTGGATGAGGGGTCGATTCTAATTGAGATAGTGTGTGACCAGAAACACCATATCGGATGAAGGGTTGACACTGCGGAAAGTTCATAACTATTATTACGATTAGTACGTGTCGAGTGTTTATTCGTGGAGATGTCGCCTATGTTGGCTTGCTTTACGCCCAAATCACGGTTACTTAAAGTAACCGTGCCCAAATCGACCAGTGCGGAACGTAGATCGTCGAGGCCATGGCCCGGAACATAGGCGATGAAACTCTGCAGATATACGGCCGATTGTGTAATACTACAACAATAATGTAACGAAATGTTCAAATATGGACAATGGTACGTTATAACAGTCATTTGTGTCGCAATTTGTGTCGATACCTAATGCACGTGCGTTTATTTACTCAAGAATTTGAATATTTTGTAGAGAAACTACAAACCTTATATAGATTGAAAACCGATAATTACGGCTCAGAAGTTATTTTTAGGATACACTCTTTACTTTACAGTGAAAGGCTTTTATGATTAAAATAAAAGCTTTATAATATACCGCGGCGGTGGCAGGGCGTATTGCACGACAATAATGGAATAATAATGGTTTCGTCGAATCTTGTGTTCTCGGTATGATATACGCAGATGGTCTGATATTATTTTTATCAAATTTATATATACCCGTTAAAATATCAAATGCGTGACTGACGTAATGGCAATCCACATCCCGCGGGAAGGCACGTGGCCTTGACAACGCGTTTATATTTTACAAAGGCTCGCAGCGCGATTAGTACAATTAGGGATATAGTCACGGTCGGCAAACGGACTGAAGTTTCAATTACTGTCTTAGATGTATTAATTCCAGCAACTTGATGAGCCACTATAATTCTCTAGCATTGTTTTTCTGTATTAATTCTAATTGATAGAAATGCACTTTTTTATAATCAGAATATGGCTTTAAACAGCGTTATATTTCACGCATATATTATTTAACTTAAAGCGGGCGAGCCGTTACCTGTTCATGCGGCATACGACCATAACGTGTTGTTTTTAGCGTGCGTTTTCATGGTCGCGTTGGAATTCCCTCGCGTGCGCAGGTGACGACTCCTCCGATTTAAACGATCAGCGGTGCGCGCATTTACATCGAGTGACTACTTTTTTTAGGATTTCACTGTGCTTGAAATAAAACATTTATTTGCCAAGTCGTGGTGCGGCGATAAATATATATTCAAGTTTTTATGTTAGTGATTATAATACGACTATGAAACGACTTACATGCAATTAGCATACAATCAATTACTTTCATTTGAATTTTATTTTCGCTGAAGGCATGAATCAGTGACAATACCTTATTCCTATGTATTGTATTATTCTCAAAACGGCCAAAATGTGTTTTCATCAAAAAATAATTCCAGCTAAAATAAAGTGTTTGTGCACTGATATACTTCTATCATCATAAACCAAAAACGTTTTGAAGTTGCCACTGATTCATGATACCACTGAGACATATGGTTCACACCTATGTGTTATAATATCGGACTACGGGTAATTAACTTCAGCGTATCGTTAGCAATTTGGAAGGTGTATTCGCATCATCTTCGTTTAAAGAATTGTTGATGAAGGCGTTATGCCAATGTGCATTTTCCTCCATTTGTCACTGAGTACTGCGATAAGCGGCTATGTAGCAACCAATATAACGGCGCTGAATTGAGCATGCGCAGTACTAATAATACCCCCCCCCCTACATACACGCACACAAGCTCGCGCATCCCACTAGATTCCGGGAGTAAAATCACTATCTCTCCCTCTCTCTTAATGACCTCTGCTCAAGAAACATTTGCGGATACATCTCCAAAAACACTCAACAAGACAGACACTAAGGTATAATTTTAGAAATCATCACAGTTGCAGAACAGCAGTACTGTTGAAAAGTGCCAAGATTGATAAAGATCTGCGAGTCACATGCGGCCGTTTGAACTCGCTGGAATCCGCTGACTAAAGGTCTTGGTAAGATTCCCCAAATAGGCGGCGATACAAAATATCTATATCTGTTTTCCCGATATGACAAAATAAAAATATCGATCCAATCGCGCTGAAAAGAATTTGATACTTGATAAAAAATAAATGTGTATCCGATTTTATACAAATTGAATCGAGTACAAGTCGCCATCTGCCGGGAGTTAATGTAGAAGGCGTACAGAAGAAAGAAATATGCCACGCAAACATTCTATTCATGTCTTTACTTGCTTGTCAATTCCCAATTCTCTGTCAATTTCTAAGCGAAAAACTAGCAACCCCAATAAACATCAACGGTAGCTATGTCCCGGCGCTGATAAGAAGACGTGGTAACGGTGCCTACAGTAATACAAAATGTAATTGACGAAACTGCAAGACGGCAATAATGATTCTATGGCAATAATGATACCATATAATTAAATTCGTTTATTTATTGGCGGTTATCGAGTGACGCACATGGTCGGGTCTGATTTATTCTCACAGTATTATTCGTGTTAACTGTTCTCATACTAAATTCCCCAATGGTTGCTTATTACCTTGTGCGATGACGTCATAGAAAAGATTCAGACGCAAACGATGACGTCAGTTGGAGTCGTCAATTTCCTCACAAGCACTCGAGCGACAGCTTCCTATTCTTTCGATGTTTCTTAAAATAGCCGTATTTATTTAGGCCGTTCAACTATCGCTATTTTTAATCACGAGTAATATAATAGACCATGAATAGACCATGAATGGACCGGCGGAATGACGAAACGTGTACGACGAAATGACAAATGAAAGCGTTTAAATTGACACCTGATTATTGGTACGGATGTAGTCGAAAGCTTATATACCCCACCTCCCGCCCAGAAATTACCTGTCACCGCTATATGGAATGGATTCTCCCACATAACATGAAATTGACATTTAGAATAAACAGTTCATTCCATTACACACCAAGGCGTGTTTTATTAACTACAATATATCCCTAGTTGGTCGTGCAACTTAAAATTCATCACGTTATTACCGGAAGTAATATATGTCACGTGGTGCAATGAAATCTATTACACGAAGTCGTTGATTTCCACTCAGACGATCATTATCCTATCGATACGTATTACTAGTGTGCATGTCAAACGCTTAAAATCCATTTTTAATATTATTGTCACGAACAACTTATTGAGAATACATGGAATGAATTCTTTACCTTCAGAAATCTTCAATTCGTTTTTCAATATTTCTTTACTGATCTGCAATGAAATGGTAAATGTATTTAAAACTTGATGTCTGTGGACTTAAAAATGCTGTGCGTAAATTTGAAAACAAATCGTGTATGTAGCTAATTTATGATATGTTTTGTAACTCTATTTAAAACATGTCTTTATTATATATTATTAGTGATCTACCAATATTCATACGCACCCGCAATGGGTGGCATTTCCCATTTTTACCCCTCATGTAACCCACAGCGACGCGAAGCGACGACTACATAACATTTTACCGAACGTTTCACAATAATTCATAATATCACTATTATGAATAATTGTGAAATGTTCCAAAAGCGTTTGTAAATCGTCATACTGTTACAAATTCCTGCGAATAATTCATACTACCGGGCCTTTCTGATAACCGGAATAAGTAAGTGTGCGTGAAGTCGTATTGTTGAGCATTTTACGGGCGTTCATGTCCTGGAAGTAGGAGGTCAAGCGCAGGAATGATTTTCTTCTTCCAGTCACTGTTTTTATTATCCACCGGTTCGTATTTTTTTTTTATTAAACACCAAAAACCTTGATTCCAGATGGTACACCCATAAAGGCGATAATTCGGTGATGCGAAGGGAATGATGCGTTTAAGGTAATGTGCATATGTGGTAACGTCGCTCATTCGCTTTACGAGATTTCAGTATATCAGTGGCGCCAGCGGAATGACAAATCACAGACACCGTCATACATACTCGAATTAGAAAGCCCCAAAGAATTCAGCTGAGCTGCAATTTAGTAGTTTCCATAGAAACCATTGTGCCATTTCCCAAGAAATATAACCTTATAGTAATTCCCCGAGTAATTCATGATATTTTCGCGTAAGTTTCCAATTAAAGCTTCTAGTCACAGATGTGGAATTGAAAAAATAATCACTTTTCGCTTATCATATTTACATGTCAGACACCTTAGGCGGTGATAGCGATTAAGCAGGAATGAACGTAAATGTATCCAGTGGACTGTGAGTGGTGAAAACATTCAAATAGTTATTAATTCACTGCCAATGTATGATATACGTCGTGTTCTTATGCGCCGTCTAATGTATTGTTCGAGTTAGATGAGAAAGCGGACAGGGAAATATGGTCACAACAAGTTTGATTGTGATAGATGCATACATCCTCGTTCGCCGAATTCAAATCCCTTGCAGTGACCAAGCGTATGTTCGTGAAGGAGGTGCTCACATCTCGTTAACGAACAGCGCACGCGCAGTATAATTTCCCATTTCATTGGGCATTCAAGCGATATGTGCATAACCACACTCACACTTGTATGTGGGCATTCAATTTACGGACTGTGTGGAACTTTATTGGCTTGGGATGGTCAAAACTTTGCTGATCAATGCTGTAAGCATGCGCAGCGGCCATGGCAACACCCAGCTTGAGCCGGAAGACAAGCGACCTCAGAGGCGTTAAGTTGTTTAAATCCATGGATCAGCTGGAGTCAGGAAATGCGTGTGTCGTCCATGCCGTGGGTTGTCATGACAACCACACATTACGAACGTGGACATATTTTTATCTTTATTCTAGTGATGCATAAGTGACGTCATGACATTAAATACCCAACTATCTTGGCCAAATTCAAAAATGTAAAACGTCGTAAAACAAGCAGCCACACGTCCTATGCTTGCGATGCGCAGTCGATTATTTCGTTAGTCTTTTTTTTTACTCAAGAATCAACAGGTTGCCCAATCGTGTAGCACAAATATTATGAATATGAAGTTTACGAAAGACCAA